GTGTGTGTGTGTGTGTGTATGTGTGTGTGTGTGTGTGCGTGTGTGTTTAAAACATCTCTGCATAGCGTTTGCCTAGCTGTATCAGTGCGACCTACAACACAACGTAAGCTCCGAGCTACCCAACACTACACGCAGCAAATTTCTGCTTCATATGGGAGTTGAGAAAACGACTTGGGGGGTATTTCATGTTGAGAAAAAGCTCTATAGCTGGAAAGGACGGCAACGGGGCAGTTTGAACTGCCCATGTGGGGACTCTGTGCAGAGAAAAAGTCTTATAAAGTGAGTGACCATATGCACGGGCATGGGCACCTGCTGTGAAAGCATCGGATCAGGCCCGAAGTCAAAGTTTCCTTGAACTCTTCCCTCAAAACTGCGACAAGATCGCACTGAGGAGGAACAACTAGATAAGAGTGCGATCCTAAACACACTTGTAATGACGCGCATAGGCTACAAGGAACGAGAAAACTACGTTAAATGGAGAATAAATGGCCAGGGATAGACAACCCGAGTTTTCTTCTATGGGTTGCTTTTGCGAAGCAATACCTCTTGCAGCATGATCTGCCTGCGGTCGGCGCAGGAGCCTTCACTGGGCCTTTGTATCTTGCGTGTAAGCAAATGCAAACGTTCTATAAGTACATTAAGAGATAAAGAACACACCAAACGAAGCTTCGCTGAAGCTTCCTTGTCTGCACACGTGAGGCTGGCTTGTATTACTAGCCGCAGCGAGGTGCCCTGCAACCCCATCTCAGGATGCCTCCTCACCTGAACACCCAGGCCCTGAGCTCAACGCTCAGCAGGCCGGAGGAGAGGGGAGAAAAGTCATCTGCTTTTGTCAACTCTTGCTTTAGGTCTTTACCTACGTTGCATTTCGCTTTTGGCATTAATTAAGGTCAGAGAGCAAGAGTTATGGACAGGCCCAGCGAGGCATGAGGTTGGGTCGCGTACAAACGTGTACAAACGGTTGCTCTGGTGGGTGTGTAGGGGGGCTTATACCTTCGGATGTGCAGGCTCTTCAGAGCCAATTCCTTCT